GGAAATCTCACCATTGTGGGAGGGGCAGAGACACAAACTACTGGAGGAAATCTCACCATTGTGGGAGGGGCAGAGACACAAACTACTGGAGGAAATCTCACCATTGTGGGAGGGGCAGAGACACAAACTACTGGAGGAAATCTCACCATTGTGGGAGGGGCAGAGACACAAACTACTGGAGGAAATCTCACCATTGTGGGAGGGGCAGAGACACAAACTACTGGGGGGAAATCTCACCATTGTGGGAGGAGCAGAGACACAAACTACTGGGAAAAGTTCTCACCATTGTGGGAGGGGCAGAGACCATTGTGGGATGGGCAGAGACACAAACTACTGGAGGGAAATCTCACCATTGTGGGAGGGGCAGAGACACAAACTACTGGGAGAAAATCTCACCATTGTGGGAGGGGCAGAGACACAAACTACTGGGGGGAAATCTCATCATTGTGGGAGGGGCAGAGACACAAACTACTGGGAGAAAATCTGTTATTTGGAGTACACAAGAGATATAGGAAATGACTCAGTGATTCGGTCTCACATTGGCCACCCAGGAATATCATTTTTTTGGATGGACATTAATAACGGGTAAAGGGCACCAATGTGTAAGTAACTCAGGGCAGACATCGGCTTGTACTAGTAGAGGATGGAAGGAGATAGTTGATTGGTTTTTATGGTGTAATTTGATTTATTAAAGTCAGAAATAATATTTACATCTGATCTGCACCATAAATCACCGGAGTTCCCTGGAAATAAACTGCAACAATGTAACAAATGAGTGCCAGAGCCAGTTATAGGCGACACAGAGGAGGATCTCTCGGGGTAAAACCACCATTATAAACACTGGTTCTCTATCCCCGGAATACTCTGATCTCTTCCGGCCAGTTTGGGGATATAAATTGAGTCCTTTCATGTGAAGACACTTTAATTCACCTGCAATATTTCTTGACACGAATAAACTTCTGTCATCTTTATGATGTAGAAACTCGGAAAACTCTGAAATTCTCATGTTTGTCTTTGTATATATTTGATGAAGTTCTGTAGAATAAATGACGTCATCTCATGTGCGGGACTCAATTCGGACTCATGGGGGATGCGCAGTGATTGTTGTTCCTCTCTGTGTCCTGTAGGGGGAGTACGTCTCCTGCCTGCTGTCTCTTCTGCGACTGATGTCAGATACTCATTACCAGCACCTACTGCACAACTTCCAGAGCAAGGAGGAGCTGAAGGTGAGGCGCTTCAACTGTCCAGCCCGGATTGTTAACTA